CTTCTCTAGGGCCGGCACCATACAGTGACATCCGCGATGTCACTACACGTGTATAGACAATTAGTTTCAAATAATGTGTTTGCGATGTAGCATGTATGACAATCTTTAGAATGAATGTGTCCAGAATACCTCAACGTTTGCAGTATTCATACATGTGCAATTGTGTAACCTTCCCTGACATTGGCATTTGCCCTCACGTGTGCAGTCGTATCAACTGCTGTATGTCAATCACCTGTCGTTTGATAAGGGACATTTGCTACTTCCATAAAATTAGAAAGGTCATGAAGATGAGCGCAGTGCATGTATAATTAAATTATTTAACACTTTCATCACAGCACATCCATCACATTTAATATAAGGAATTGCTTACGTATTGGGATAACTTGCTTTTCCCATTGCACATTATGTTTTACATTATACTTTAAAATACACGAATATACATTTTATCTTGTTCCCATCATTTTTTGAAAATCAAACTGTTCTAATAATGTTTTTATTAAATCAATAGATATACATAGACCGTTATTTCGTCTATTCACGTTTCCTGTGGGCCATTCCCTAAAGAACACTGAACACATCATCTGTTGAAAATAGATTTCTGGTAAACACAAACATACAAGGCAAGAACAGGGAACATGGATCTAAAATCACTGAATGACCATCGCAATACAATCCATACAGCCATCCAGTAGAAACATCGTGGAGAAAACACATTTCCCTTATATTGTATGCAGCTCTTTGCGACACAGAAGCCTCTTTCCTATGCCAATACTTATTCATTTGTCGAATTGGTGAGCCATTGGTTCCATTCGAGGTTCACCCTTCATTGGTTCACTTTTCTATCGTGAGGTTAGTATTCATTGGCCCATACTTTACCTGGAGTATAGCCAATATACACACTGACCATTTTGATAATTGTTTTTTTACCCTTTTATCTGGCAACAAAACTGACACCTTTTTTACAAGGAGTCATGTTTGCATTGACCACAATACCTGCGGTCGGAATGCAAACAAAAAACATAACTCTGATAATGTATGCACTGTCCTTGAAATTGATTGGTCCACACCCGAGACAGCTTTCCTTAAAGCCTAGTCTCACATGGTGTTGGACCAGATGACGCCAAAAGGCGCACTGACCATTTTGTATTACAGGTAGGAGCAACAGTTCCACACTACCCACCAGGGATTATTTGTCTGTCTGTCGTGCATAGCCACGCCCTCGATTTGTATTTCATAGAGCGCTTCGGGCGCACTCAGCACCGCGTGACGTACCGCCCCACGCAGCTTGCGCCGCGTGACACGGATCGCACGAATGCGCTGTCCAACCAAGTTCCTACCTGCCCACTCCGAAGGAACGTGTTTGATCCATGGCCATCGCTTTCATGAGTACAGCTTTCCGATGTTGATTTCTATTGTCACGGTTGCGCGTTTGCTGGGAGAGCTGTAGTGTCTTGTCGAATTGTCATTTCCAGCCAGGGCTTGTCTTTGAACTATACTCTTAGGTTTTTTTTTAGGTAAAGTCACGTAGGTAAAATAATAATAATAAATTAAAATAATAATAAATGAAAATAACTCAATTAAATCACGACGTTTCAAAGGCAACACAAGTCTCTGTCTTCAGGTGGGACCGTCACAGCCAAATTACTGTATCAAGTGAAGACGGAGACTTGTGTTTCCTCCGAAACGTCGTGGTTTAATTTAGTTATTTTAATGTATTATTATTTTATTTTATTAATATTATTTTTTTTACCTACGTGACTTTACCGACAAAACCTAAGAGTATGAATCCTTGCAGTCACGAAAGCTTTAAATCTAAAATTGTCTTTGAACTCTTTGGAGATCAGGAACAGTGATTCACCTTAAATACCCCACGCCAAAGTGTTTTTATATTGTTGACCCTGCAAACGCATTGATTTGGAGAAAGCCTTCAGAATATTTATTTACACTGGAGGAATCCATGTGCTATAAAGCTATTTTTCACAGATGTTCAGTAGGGACTGGTAAGAATGTTACAACAAATAGTACAAGGAAGGTTAACAAATCACCCAGAGACATATAAATAAAACTAAACCATCCTCACCCTACCAGGCAAAGCCCACTGAGGCATTACTTTATTTTTCAGAAGTGACCTGGCCACCAATGATAGCTCAACAAAGTGGCCCATTACGTGGACATTTATGCTTGAATTTACTTTTACAATTTAGACCGAAGAGTTACATTGTCATCAACTTGTACATACTATTAGATTTCAGTTCGTTGACACATTTTCAATGATTGTTTTTATTTACCCCTTTGGCAGTTAGGTAAGATGTATGGCATAGCTCAGGAGCGAAGATTAATTACAGTGATTAGGTTTCCTCTGGTAATTGATCGGTGTACTTTGCAGCTATATGGCACTTGTCATGTTATATTGTTTGCACACAGGTTAAGCCTATTTGACGCTTTAAACGCCTATGATTGTATTTTAAGTTAAAACTTTGAAGGGCATTTTCAAAATGATCATCAATAAATTGTGCAGTGCTTCAGATACCATTTAACATAGTTGAATATGCCTTTGACCATACTGCGCCAAATCACATCAGATCTTGGAAGCTAAGTCGAGTTTAGCCTGTATATTGCTCATATACAATGAAGAAACAGGTGTTGTCAATAGGGTACCGTTCAACAAAATTCATCATTGTCCTGTTTTAGGCTCCAGCTTGCACCAATGTCTACCAATGTGTGGAGGGCCTCATTCGGCAATGGATCAATAAAAAGGGCCATTATATTTCACTAGCTTTTTTGCCCTTCCAAGGACGGGTGGAAATTGCAGTAAATCTGAAATATTCAATAGAAAAATTGTTCAGCTCATGATTATTAATGAGGGGAGGGGTGCGGGATGTGGAGTGCGCGACCTTCTTGTGCGTTAAGTGTAAATTTCTACGTGGACATGAATATTAATGAAGGGGGGGGGGGGGGGGGCTCTTGCAGTGATGTCACGCACGGTTATAGCGCTGTGCTTCGTACATTTATTTTTTACCGTCACTTTCTTTAAAGAAACGTCATATTGAAGCGGCTTTGCATAATACATTTTTTAATTCAGCTCGACCTTCTGCGTTAGTGTAAAAATCCACCCACTCATGAATATTAATGAGGGGGGTGGGCCTCATGTGGGAGTGACTTCACACGCGGGACGGACAGACATTTCTGGGTGATTATAGTAGGTAATTAATTTTTTTTTCATAACAATAACTGATATGTGCAGCAACAAAAGCAGTTTTATTTTGCATGTCTGCAATATTTTAACAAAGACAAATGCCGTTTAAAAAAGCATTGCCATCTTTAATGTTGCTGGAATAAATATGGTTGTAAGGAGATCAAGTGGACGTACTGGAGTGTAAAATGTCCAAGTGGTTCTGGCATTGTAGTCTAAAAAGAACAAACTGTCCTTTTATTAAATATAGTAATCAGCTGATAAATACATGCTTTAGAGGGAGGGCTTATACATTAATAATAATAATAAAAATGAATTTCGAAATGTGTCTTTTGAATCACAAGACTATATTTTATGAAGATCGTGTATTGGAATGTTTGTCCATTTAACCGTTATAGTGAATGTATGACGGAGGACATGGTACTTGGAAAACACTGGAAGGTCTGTACAGATGGTTTTGCAAACCACTCGCTAAATGGGTGGTGATATGGCAGCACGTTTTGCCACTTGTGGCAAAGGTTCACGGTTCCAATCCATCGGCTGCCCTGATTATTACTGCGAGTGTATTAACCGCAAATATACATGCCATTTGCTTCATAGTGGATGTTAAAGATCCTGTGATGTCATTTGCAAGAGGAGGCCATTGCGTGCCGCTGTCACGTTCCAAATTTTAAAAATGACTCTGGCGGGATTATAGCATCCCCCCCCCCTCCCCCGACTGCAAAAAAACGTTGTAGGGTCTCTCGACTCGGTGACGCTTCTTAGGTAAACAAGTCGAATAATATAATAAAACTGCCGCCATCTGGCCATTTTGTAGCACAGTGCGTTTTGATGCCCCAAAAATCTGAATGATCCGCAAACCTTTGCTTTGAAAGCACTGGATTAGAAGTGTGCGTTACAATTATGTCGTGGACAGATGTGTCATATATTTAATTTGTGATGTTTCCAAGTTGATGTTATTTTATATCCATCCACAGTATATGTTCGATATGTATGTCTCTAAAATATTTACTGGAATTTATGGGATGCCAAATATTGCTTTCCTGTGCATGGAATAGGTTTCTTAGAATTGATTTAACATGTAGGCTTTCGCGACCAATGTTGTCCATAATCAAGGTGATGCACTTATATGGTGAACTCTGTTTACTTCTTTGAGCTGATGTGCCAGGGACTTATCATTTGATAGTCTGTCTGAATTACAGTTCATGTATGCATGTTTTCCTCAATTAGGTTATAAGCCTAAGCTTTATTGTCATAGATGTATAATGAAATCTTCGTACATATATTTAATTTAATTTACCGTCCTTTGGTAATCCGCTGATGGATGAAGGTCGCTGGAGTTGTTTGAGCACTATGTTGGTCAGTGCCTTTTTTGTAAAATATCTATATGCTCAGTGGGCCTTACCTAGTCAAATAAATATACATTTAGAAATGGTCGGTGGGAGCAGGATCGGTTCAGATCGCTTCTTTAAAATAACTAATAGCTCATTTGGCTTTACTTGGTTAAATTAAACATTTCCATTTAAAGCTTTCGTGACTGCAGGGATTCAAATTTCAAAATTTCTTGCTGTGGTTTTCATACCTGATGATGATTGCTTGTGTTGCAATCGAAACTTCGTGAGAATTTTATTGTTTTATTATTTTATTATTTCCCTTCTACGTGACTTTACCGAAAGAACCAATAATGTAAATGAAACATTGTTTAGTTTAAAATTTTTTTTTGTAATTAGCTGAATTTTTCTATACTTTTAACTCCTTTAGTCTTTTTTTAATTGTCATTTTGTGTAACTTTCTGACCCGCCCCTAGTGGACATTTCTGAAAAAAAGAGCTTCATAGCTCATCGGATTTCTCCAGGATGAAGAAAGAATCTGATGTACCTCTCGCCACTGATTTTCGCCATGGCTGGTATTCAGACTTGGACCGCAGGGTTCAAAGCGCAGTGGATGAACTACTGCACAACCAAAGAGATGCTTACATTTGGGACAGAAATGTGTGATCAAGATAAGTCTTGTTCATTGCCTTGCTGAAAACATCTCTTGTGTTGTGAGTAGCTGAATATGAGTAGTAGAGATAGTGCAAGTTCAATTATGATAGCACTTGTAAGAGCCCGTTAACAAGAACTGCATTAGTATTGTAATTGGTGCAGCAGAGATGCTTTGAGTGCACATCTGGCAAGGCTATGCCTTTAAATAAGCAACTGTTGTATATAGCATGTAACAATTATCATAAATGTACCTTAAAATTGTATTTTTCTTTTATTTAAAGTTAAAACATTTAAGTTTATACACAATCGTTATCCTGTATCACATTTTGTGACCCCTGCATTTCAATGCCGTGAACATTATTTCTATACATATCACCAAGTTAATTGCATTGTACAGGTGTTTCAGATTTGTCTTGTTTGGAGGACATTATGCTTGATCTTTTTGGTGTGATGAGTGGTATTGCCCTCAGTTGCCATTACCCCTACTCTGGCCACTGTGGTATATTCCAGGCTGCAGTGTCGATGTGAATGGGTTTTGCCTGCTACAGTCAAGAGCTGCAATGAAAGCCTAATTGTAAATGCTATAATCAGCTGTTTGTCATTTACGGTTCATGTTGATCTAAAAAAACAGGGTGTTTTGCCTGGAGACATTTATTTTATGCTGGGTATGTATAACAATGTTTCGTAATATTGCTCTTGCAATTCAGAAGGACTTATTTCTGTATTGTCTCTATGACATTGATCAACATTGCTGAATGTATTGCAGTAATGACTTGCTTCATGCGCCGGATGTTTTTTTCTTGTTCACTTTTTGGTGAAAATGTGCCTCTATATCTGTCAGGACCGATGGGTGAAAAAATCCTCAAAATTACATCAATCAAGCCCTTAAATGTGTAGGTATACTTGTGTATCAAATGTTAACCTTATTCAACATTTCTATTCGTATGCATTTACAATTTTAGTGTTTTTATTCGTTAATATTTACTTTATAGAGTGCGCATACGAGGCTTTGGGTTGATTCTTAGATTTCACATGTAGACAAGGACTGTGTCCACAATGTTGCTGGGTTGTTAATGTTTGCTCCGGTTTCTGCAGCCCGTTTCGGTGCCTGTCCCGCCACTGCGTGTGAGTGTGTGGTGATTGGTGGTGGGGGGGAGATATAATCCCGTGTACAGTGTCGTTACCCGAGCCACACAATATAGCAAGGTGAAGCAGTAACTAGAGCGCAGTAGGGCTCTGCATGGCCATTGCCATGCAGAGTAGTTAAACGTGTTGTAAACACGCAGCCTTGGTGGGAGCTGCTTTTCTGCCGTCCGTTCTAATCACGTAAAAAATGTACCCGTAAAAGCAAAGTTTTTCACTATAAATCCTTTATATGCGTGGCGGCTAGAGTCCTCTCGTCCTCTGGCTTGAGATGGCTGCCACCTATGGGTCAGATGATTGTCTGCCAGTATTAAGCAATTGGTAATTAAATATTTAATTTGTTTTCCCTAAACAGTGTAACATTTTGGAAAAAAAATTTCACGAAAATTAATTGTCTCGCACAACGAGCCTGTGTGCAAAATGTCAGCTCGATTGGATCACGGGAAGTGGGTTAAAAAACGACCGAAAGATTTGCACGGTCGTAAGCAAGCAAGCAAGCACGCACGCAAGCAAGCAAACTTAATATAAAGGATTTAAAAAGAGCAACTCGGAAGAGTTGCTGCAATTCTTGACCTGTCCACTTGATAGGTCGTAGCAGCATTGTCTCGTGATTTATAGTGCAAAAAAAAGCCCGAATGTTGGACCGGTATTTTGACATGTGCAGCATTAAGATCTGTCCATAATAAAGGTTTTATGGGTGAGGTCGCGTATGTCATTAACCAACCACCCTACTCGACACATTGAATTCATCAAGTTTGTCACGTAAACTAAACGTAGCAATTAGTTACTACTTCAGTTCACCGAAAGCCTGTGTCTTAAACCAAGATCTGTGTTGGAATTAGTGTGTGAATGCACGCTACAGTTAATCATTGTCAGCCAATATCTGTCTATTGCTCGATGATGGCCTTCCAAAGCAGGTTGCTATTGTGCTCTTGGTCTTGTGATGTGCACATGAGCTCATTTCATTGCTCCGTCTCCAAAGTGAATATCCCCTCCAGCATGTTTCCTCCTTTGCTTGGCACTTCCTCATGAGTCCCGAAGACCGGCCATCATCTCTTGCAGTGATGTGTCCTGCTTTACCCCACTTTTCTTACCGGTCAAAACGTTCCATAAACTATCTGCTCGTCTTTTTATCGTTCAGTGTTATTCTGTGCATGCATCTCTCCATGCTTCTTTACGCAATTTTTTAATATCCCCCCCCCGCTATTTTCATTGTCATGCGATTCATGTGATATTAGGTCATATATATTGATTAAATTATTCCTCTTTTGCTCAATAATATTACTTTCCGTAATGTACAGTCGTTCAGGTTTTCAATTAGCACTCCAACCTGAGCAGGTTCACCTCCATTATTAATTATAAAATATTCTGCAACTCCCTCGCAAAGGTCATACATCGCAGGAATTAATTAGCATTTCAAATAAAGAAGAGGAAGTTCAAAATGTCAAGTGAAGAAGCAAACAGCGTAAAATGGGAAATATTTAGACCGGTTGCCATAACTGTGGAGACCATCAAAGAAGCAGGGTTATTTGTAACACAAACGGCTGAATTAGAAAATGTTGACACAGAAATGAAATTTAGTGGCTCAATCATGGAATACTTCCTCAATCTTCTATTCAAAAAGGGTGACAAAGCTTACTCAAAGAAATACACTTTCTCTGGCTTCCATATTTACGTGCTTTGAAAAAAGGGCCTTTCTCTGGACTTGTCACCTATTATGTTTTTTTATTTTCATGGCATGGTTATGTTTACGAAGGTGAGGTCTTTTTTGGTTACTTGTGCATCACTGCCAATGTAGCATCACAAAATCATTTCAATTACAGACCCATTAGCTTCTTAGCGCACGTACATATATCATTCACAAAGATTTCGAGAACAGCATAGAGGAACGTTTGGAGGCCAACCAAGCAAATTAGTAGGCTAGATTTCAGAAAGGTTTCTCTGCTATTGGCCATATATCAATCGGATTGATAGTGAAAAGTGCAGTAAGTATATGGATATATTGGTGATACAATATAGTAGAAAAGTTTACTCTGACAAAAAATAAATTTTATGTGAAAGTAGATTGCTAGATTATATTTTTAAGAAAATGTAAGATTTGTAAGACTATTTTTTAGTACTATAGGAACAGGCTTGAGGTACGGCGTGTGTTACAGTATATCCACTAGTCACATGGTTCCTTGTCTTTGCACAGCAGTTGTGTTGCTCATGGCAAAGGATCTTGCTGAGCCAATGTTATAACACAGGGGTGATGCTCCATTCATTCATGTGTCCTAACACAGGAATGTACATTCATTGAATAGTTATGTGTCCTGTGTGGGCAGGTTTGACTTGTTTATGCAATGACTACATCTGTCTTCATTTCTCCTCACACACACCAATAACACAAAATAATCACGTGAATTGTGTTGTTAATGAGCCACGTTTATTTTAACATTGGCTGTTTATACTTTTTTTTTATATAAAGCGTCATTCATGCAGACTGCAGCTCACAACACTGCACAATCCTCAAAACACGGAGGTGCATATAAATTCGGATGTCTTCAGGCAATTAGTGAGTGCTTATATGTGTGGGAGGAAATCGGAGCACCCGGGGAAAACCCATACACGTGAGGAGGCAACACTTCCATCCAGATGGGACAGATGGAGATTATTCATAATTAAGGTTTTTGGGTTAGATCACGTAAGTATAAATGTGTCGTAACCCTCAACCACCCGACACAGCCAATTAGTAAGGGATTTATCACGTAAACAAAATGCCAAATAGTTACTAGTTCAGCCCACGGTGTGTTGGAGAGTAAATCCACAACATTTACAATTTGAATATGACGTTTCGCTGGTAATTACAACCAGCATCATGGGGCGATTTGCCAGAATAGTGAAGCCCTCCACCTGCTCCCAGTCTTAAATAGAGCAGGACAACGTCATCACGGAACCCAATCAGGTGCAGAGATCCAACACACCGGTAGGCTGAAATAGTAATTAATTGGTGTTTTGTTAACGTGACAAATCCCTTACTAATTGGCTGTCGGGTGGTGGAGGGTTACGACACATTTATACTTACGTGATCTAACCCAAAAACCTTTATTATGAATAATATTGGTCTCGAAAGCCTACATGTTAAACGGATGGAGATTAGTCCATGATTGCTGCACCTCCTTTCTCCTGGCAAGCCAGGGTATGGCACCTCGATACCTATGGGATGGGAGATACACAACATCTGTGTTATCCACCAACTGTCGCATCCACAATGCTCAATCACAGGTGGAAGCTACCACCGCATAAACTTGTTTTTTGTTTGGCGTGAAATTCGTATGGACGATACAGTGCAATTTGTATTTATGTAGCGTCTACATATAGCCATTATCTCAAGTCATTCTACAGGAAACGGTGAGATCTGGGCTACATGTCGATGGTTCTATATATTTATTCTAAAGAAGAAGCAGTCAGTCATCGGCAAAAGAGAAGAGGAAGGTTCTTGAGCCTGGACTTGAACAGGGGAAGGGAGTTATCAGCACTGAGGGCTGGGGGAGGCAGTTTCATATTGTGGGGGCAGCAGAAGAGATTTCGCGACCTTCCATCAAGTGGAGGTGATTTAATTATATTTGTAGCTCAGTTTTCACTTTTAAATATCCATGTGGCTTAGTGCACTTGAATTACACTATGTAACACGATTTTTGTCCCTGGGTAGTAAGTGTTATTTTTTAATTGCTTATGCCTAAAAAGTATAGAAAATGGCTATTCCCACAAACTTTGCTTTTGTGACCAGGACTTTACGTGAAGGAATAACACAAATGCACACGTTTTCTCATTGAAAATAGGTACATTTCAAAATATCACTGTCCTGGTCAGAAAAGCAAAGTTTGTGGGGAATAATAGCCATTTTCTGTACTTTTGAGGCATAAGCAATTAGGAAATAACACTTACTACCCAGGAACATTTTTTTTTGTAACAAATGTTATGCATACCCTGGCTATTATTATAGACAGAGCCAAATGTATTGCGTTTAAATGCAAGATATTCCAAATGATGAAATCTAGTGGTATTACAAAATATTTTTTCTATTAAATTATATCAAAATCTAATTCATTTCTAAAACGTTGAAGCTAAAAAGCATCTTGAATCATTTTGTCCCTCATTTGGACTAAAAAAAACTCTAAAGTAAAAAATATATTTCATTTAAAGCTTTCAGTGACTGCAGGGATTCATATTCTTGGTTCTTTTGGTAAAGTCACGTAGAAGGGAAATAATAAAATAAAAAATATATTAAATAATAAAATTCTCGCGACGTTTCGACTGCAACACAAGCAATCATCATCAGGTGATGATTATTGCAAGAGTATAAAAAATATATTTATTCAACATCACCAGTAATTGGACACTGTCAAGTTTGATACAGAACGAGTGCTTTTTATATTCTTTGGGTCTTTGAGTAAAGTCATGTAGATAGGTACAAATTACTAAAAATAATTAATATAACTTAAAACTACAACGTTTCGATCACAACACAAGCGATCGTCATCAGGAGGAAAGGGGGGGTAATCCGCTGAATGCACACTGTTTTATACCTATCTACGTGACTTTACCGAAAGACCCAAAGAATATGAATTCCTGCAGTCACGAAAGCTTTAAGTCAAAATTTGATTGCCTTTTATTTTCAGTTGAATGCTAGGCATAGTCTGTGTTTACAATTCGTCACAAAACTGCACAGTAGGTAGTTGTTGCTAACCAATTTAACACCAACGTGGACTAATGCTCACTGTTTAGTTGTGCAAATTTGTAACAAAGGCCGACGTTTGTTTGGTATTTCAGTAAAATCATACTGTGCTAAATTGGTGTGATCCACTTAATAAATATAATCACAGCAAATTCACATCTAGGAACATTTTGCATCCATGCAAAATGTGTGTTTTTTTTATGTCTCATTCATCAAGTATTGATATTTAATACTCAGATATGTGGTGCTAATAACACAAATCTGTCACAGCATAACAGCGTGCCATGAAACATAATAAGCTGGGCAAGATGGGACTTTAACTGAAGTCAATTTCAAATGTCCCTGATTAAGATGGACAACCATATGATGCAATATATAATATCTACATGCCAAGTCTTGCCCTGTGGCAGTCTGGTCTAGAGGGAGGGATCCATCCCAGCTTATGAAATGGCTTGTAAGCATTGAGAAAGGATCAAATGCTGATTCAGTATGTGCAGTTAATAGTTAATATTTTACGATAAAGCGAGCAAAGACCGTATGATTACATTGCGAAGCTGTGTTGTGGGATCATTTCTGGATACCAAAAACTTCGAGCTCGCATTTTTGTTCGACAAGGTCGCCCCAGTGCTAAGGTTAGATTCAAAAGCCAAGAATCCCGAATCCCACAGGCAGGAGCACTAACCATGAAGCCACCATAGCAGTTTGATATATTACATACCACCACAGTATATGTGCACTGTAAAAAAAAAGGACTCACTTATGTTGTGTGGACAGCACACAACATAAGTGAGCACTGAGGTCACATACACTATATTCCTATTTCCTCTTCACGCCAACCCACACTGACCAGCGTGGTGGAGTGTGGTCAACAACCCCTATGGCGGACATGGCATAGGGGGAGGCATTCATTCAGCCATGACTTGACAAAGGGCTGTATAGTAGTGAATCAGAATCAGAATATGTATTTATACTAGAGGAATCCGATGAGCTATAAAGCTCTTTTTCACAGATGTTAAGTAGGGGGCGGGTAAGAACGTTACAACAACAAACAATTCAAACTATGATAGTAGTGGAGCGTACAAGAAAGGTAAACAAATTACCCAAACACATACAGATGAAACGAAACCATCCCCATCCTACCAGGCAAAGCCCACTGAGGGATTAACTTATTCTTCATAAGCGACCTGGCCGCAAATGATAGCACAACAAAGTGTTATTAGTATGCCTACGTATGTCCATGAAGATATAGGTTACAGTTATTAATTGCATGCTATGATGCTAGTAAGTACTTGTTGAGACTTGCACTGAAGAATTAATTGATAAAACACATTTTGGTTTTAATTTAGTCGCAAATTATTTCGT